GAAGAGATCCTTGGACGCCTCATCCTTCTCTTCCGTCGGGGCATGGGCGCAGATGAGCGAGATGTTGAAGAATCTAGCTTTGATGCGGATTGTGGCTAGACGTTCGTCCACCGGGGTGAACGCCAGTACTCGGCGACGGAGTCTCTCTCCTACCACGAATCCAACACCGAATTTGCGCTCCTTTACGTGGCAACTGTAGTAGACGTCGCAAGGCTTCACGCTTACTTTACCTTGCCCCGTCCATCGCATTTCTTGGATGGCGGTGATGTCAGCCTTTGTCTTCCCGAGGACATCAACCAGCCGGGCAGAGGCACCTTCCCCATTAAGGGTCCGGATATTCCAGGTGCATACCCTTAAATCATAGTCCTTTATACGTTTGCCGTGGTCGTCATCAGAAAAAGGGGGTCTCATCCGAGGCTTGTTGGAATTTTTCATTGGGCGGGGTTTTAACGTGGCGGGACCCAAACCCAGCGCACGCGAAGTTTTACGCCTTCTCACTTTAGCTCGCTCCCAAACGGGTGTTTGGTTGCTACCCAGAGGATACGTGGATATAAATATCCGGACGTTGTGAGCTGCGATTTGAACCGTACGCACAAGAATCGCTTCTGGCCACTCCCAGGTGAATGGCAGTCAAAAGTTTTCCACTTCTGCGCACGGAACCATCCTATTTGTAACCATGATTCAATAATACAAGGTTGTGTAATTTGTGACAGCTAAAATTTGACACTCCTTTATCTAGATTTGTATTTCGCATTTTGCGAAAACGGTAGTAGAATGGTATTACAAAAAGTACGCAAAGTATACAATTAGAAGTAAAATGTGTATTATTAATTCTATGCGAATTTGCAATTTATTTGGTGTTTTAATGGAAATACTAAACAATACATAAAAATATGCATTTTTGATTTAAGTTATTCGTCATTTCCGGGAACAAATCTAGAATACCGACCGTACAGCTATGCAAAAACGAAAAATGCAGATCAATAGAACTTTGTATGCTCATTTCAACCATGCCAAAATGATTTGGCGCAAGTAAAAAATGAAGATGTTCTAGAAGGTTAAAGTTCAGTTTTTAGATATTTTAAATATTAATATCTTATGAACTTATGAAATAAACCTGTTATATCTTCTTTATTTTTTACCTGCGCCAAATAATTTGGTATCGTTGAAATCAGCGTAAAAAGTTCAAACAATCGGCATATTTGGTTATTTTATAGCTAAACGGTCGCTATTCTACACTTGTTCTAGATAATTACGCAAACGTAGGTGACGCCAACGAATATTAAGTATGAATAATTTTTGGTTTTACTACTAATATCACTAGAAACTATAGAGTAAGCAACATTCTGCACAAGTACAGGAGCCGATTTTATGTGTGGTAGCGAGAAGACTGTTTTATTAAAAAACCTTTCTATTATTGAATCATGCTTTGTAACAAAAACAGTTTACTGACAGAAGGAAAACAAATTTTTTATTCCAAAAATACAATTAAACAAATTTTTTTACTTACGAAAAGTCTTTAATAACTGCTCGGCAAATTGGACATAACGCTTTTGTATGAATTTTGTCTGCATGCTTTTTAATTTGTTGAAAACATTGCTGGAAAACCTTAAAATGTTTGCATGGAACCATGGCGCAATAAACAGGTGAAGTAATAAAACAGCTTTCTCGCTCTATTTTCTGACATTCAAGTTTTTCATATAAGGCAGTGACAAAATCTTTCNACCAGCAAAAAATTCTCGGACTAAAACTGGTAACTTCTGACAGAGAGAGAACCGTATTTACTCTCTTTTTTGTCCTCTCAATAGTCAGAGAACCGAGTACGGGATCGATTTCCAGTAAAATCTGACTGATTCTGACTATTTCTGACTAGTCCGGACTCATACGGGATCGCAACTAAAAGTAACCGTTCCTGTTCGCAGTACCTACATGTATGTATAACAAAGAGAATATTGTTTTGAGTTTTATCTTCAGTTAAAATTTGTGCATTAGCATCACTTGCTTCACTATATCCGAACTGTGGACTTTNCAAAGAGAATATTGTTTTGAGTTTTATCTTCAGTTAAAATTTGTGCATTAGCATCACTTGCTTCACTATATCCGAACTGTGGACTTTGTTTACGAAGACGGAGCGAACATGTGGTACGAAATAGTGATGTAAAAATATGTAAAATTTTACCTACTCTCAGACTTCTAAATTTGAACGTATAGTCTGTACAAGCAGGTGTGACGAATGGCACAATAAACACGTGAAGTGATAAAGCAGCTTTCTCGCTTTATTTTCTGACATTCGGCTGCCTTATAAATAGTCACATTTTATACATGATTCAATAATACAAGGTTCGATAAACTGACAGTTGTCTCTCTCGCACCGCTCCCTTAGCAGTGGGACCGTGTTGCTTCTTTGCAAATTTACATGGAAACAGTGTAGCTTTGGCGTGAAATAAAAGTATAAGCTTTTGTGCAATATGTTTATTTGTATATGCATATGAAGCATATTTAACTGATGAAAACCTAAGCATTGGATGTTTACATCAATCTCATAGTAGTCTTATTTTAATTTTGAGTCATTTTGCAGTTTTTATACGGCTAAATAGCATATAAATTACGTAATTCACGTAGATATATCAATATTACGTTCAACATTTCGTTTAAAATGCCAGATTTCCTGCAAATACATAAGAATTTACGAAAGGAATTTCACTACTAATTGACTACTTTGCGTACTTTTCCACTACCATTTTCGAANCCAGATTTCCTGCAAATACATTAGAATTTACGGAAGGAATTTCACTACTAATTGCCTACTTTGCGTACTTTTCTACTACCATTTTCGAAACAAGGGATTGCATTCTTGCCCTTTCTCTGTCCTTCGTAAATGCAACCTTTTGTAAGGGAGTGTCAAACCGCAGCTGTCAATAATTATCTAACCTTGTGTTATTGAATCATAATTTTATAGGCAAATTTTCAAATAAGGCAGAGCCAAAATCTTTCTTCTCACTCTAATATTACTTCACCTGGCATAATTCTATGAACCAAAAATACAAGATCACCTAATCAAAGAAGCAAGAAAAAAGTATATTTCTGAGCGTTTTTGACATCTGCCTAAGAATGAAAACAAACAAAGGAAACGAAGAAGGCGCGTTGATTGAGTGCGATTAAATTGGTATTTATTATAAGAAATACAAAGTGCAACTTGATGACAATTAGCAAAAAAAGTTCATAAAATATGGTTTTCATGATTGAAAGTGTTTTACAATCGCATATCATTATCACGGATCGATTTTTCAATGCCAAAGTCCTGGCCACAAACGTGCACCCACTTTTCACGCAAATTTACGCCTTTTGGCAAACCAAACATACGCATAAACTTGTTCCAATCATACAGCACTTCATTTTGTATCATAAATATGTAATAAACCAAAACTTATAATTAAAATCGCTGCACAAAACACATTCAATCGCTAAAAAATCACTACGAGGAGGTAAAGACGGTGTAAACNTAATGAAAAATAGTCGTGATGATGCTAGGTAAGTCAATTTTGGAACAATAAAACTGTTGTGTCTCTGTGACCTTACTGGTATCAGCTTCTCAAAGAGATAGGCAGGTATTTTAAATACAGTAAGTTTGTAAATAAATATGCAATTCCTAGCGGCCAAATAGTTCTCAAGACTACAACCCAGGATATTTGTTCGACAGGCAGAAATGTGCTCATATCTTCCAATCCCATATACATAACGTGTAGCATTGTTGAATGCTACATTGAGTTTATGGCAAGATATTGAGTCTAGTTTGCTGTATACTACCTCAGAGTAGGTGATGATGNACGTCAAAAACGCTACGAAAACTTTTTTCTGGAAATCGATTACAAATACAGCGATGGCTGATTAGGTGACCTGTATTCGCTGGTTCATGGTATAATTCCACCATGGCCATGCATGGGTGGGATGTTAGACCGGTTCAAAAAAAAAAAGTTTTCTTTTTTTCCATGATATTAGTAGAGAAATGAGTTGCTCTACATGTCCAAAGACATTTTTCCAAAGGCTCCCCAATATCTTTAATATCGGATTAGCGAATCGTATTTGAATGTCAAAATTTTTTGACTGTCGTCTTAGAACTTAAAATGTGTATAATCCGATATTAAAGATATTGGGGGTAGCCTTTGGAAAAATGTCTTTGGACATGTAGAGCAACTCATTTCTCTACTAATATCATGGAAAAAATTAAACCTTTTTTTTTTGTTTGAACCTGCCTAGTGGGGTGCATGCAACAACACCATACGCAATAATTCCCATTACTTGGACATTAAAAAGCAGTTTCAGAAGTGAACTAGTGTCATTTTATTATTATTTTTTTCCTAAACGGTTATAATGCCACCAGTTCATAATTGCAAAAGGACGGGAGGGGGCGGGGGACGCGAGCGGAAGCGCGACGAATTGGGAAATAACACAAATTTGCGTTATTGCCGTTTGTGTTANTTTTCCCCCCCCCCCCCCCCCCCCCCTCCCACCCTTTTTTGGACCACACTAATGTGCATACTTATCAGCGCGCATATGTGCAAATCTCACGAGTTGTTACATTTTTCTACAAAAACGTGTTTTGGTCGAAAATTGCGGCACAATTATTTTAGACAATGCATTATCTTCAGTTTTGCATAAAGAACAAGATTCCACCGCGAAATTGTGTTTAAATGAAAAACTAAAAAAGATATCTATATCTATGCATTGTATAATCTACATATACGTACACGGTTAAAAAATTCGGTTTTAATTCTAAACTCTTTGACTACATNTACCCTCCAGGTAGCTAACCATAAGTTTCACCGCACTGTCTTTGAAGCCGAAATAATGTTTGAGCTTCAGACACAACAATTTGTGATTCACTGAGTAAAACGGCTTTGAGAAGTCGAGTAAGCAAAGAAGTGTCAGGTCGCCATTANATTTAAATTTTTACAAATTTTCTCAAACAACAAATTTTATTAAACAACAACATAATACAATATATGTAACTTAACAATAACAACGAGTATGACTTAATTAATGGAAAAGAAAAAAAAATATTAGAATAGAACAGAAATAGTGGAGAGAGATAGAGAAAATTTTAATGCCCTTACACAATGCTATCAGTAATTTTTAAAATAATTGTAGATTTGTGTCCTGTAGTTGAATCTGTTTAACCCACTCTTAACGGTCTCAGGTAATGAATTCCAGACTCTTACTGCGTTAATGAAAAATAGTCTTGATGATGCTAGGTAAGTCAATTTTGGAACAATAAAACTGTTGTGTCTCTGTGACCTTACTGGTATCAGCTTCTCAAAGAGATAGGCAGGTATTTTAAATACAGTAAGTTTGTAAATAAATATGCAATTCCTAGCGGCCAAATAGTTCTCAAGACTACAACCCAGGATATTTGTTCGACAGGCAGAAATGTGCTCATATCTTCCAATCCCATATACATAACGTGTAGCATTGTTGAATGCTACATTGAGTTTATGGCAAGATATTGAGTCTAGTTTGCTGTATACTACCTCAGAGTAGGTGATGATGGGCATAATTAGTTGGAGAACTAATTTACGCCTGGTTTCCAGTGGCGTAAATGTTGCAGAAACTCTCAGCTTACACAGTATCGCATACACGCTGCTCACAACCTTATTTATGTGGTCAGTACATGTAAGTTTAGAGTTAAGAATAAAACCTAAATTTCTTATCTTATCCGTAAAACTAAGCGGACTGGTACCTATCCACAGTTTTGGTATACAATCGACATACACCACACTATTACATACAGGCAATACATACGACTTTGACGCATTTAAACATAGAGAATTTCCAGCAGCCCAAACAGAAATGGCAGACAAGTCACTGTTTATTTTGAAACATAAATCCTCAACGAGACCAATACGACTGGACAGGTACAATTGTATGTCATCAGCATACGCATGGATATTCACATATTGACAAACAGGAAAGACATCATTGACAAAGAGACTGAATAACAGTGGACCGAGGACAGAACCTTGTGGAACACCAGCATACACAAATCTAGGCCGGGATATTAGTTTGTTTGACTTAACCTTCTGCGTTCTACCCTCCAGGTAGCTAACCATAAGTTTCACCGCACTGTCTTTGAAGCCGAAATAATGTTTGAGCTTCAGACACAACAATTTGTGATTCACTGAGTCAAACGCCTTTGAGAAGTCGAGTAAGCAAAGAAGTGTCAGGTCGCCATTGTCAAAGTTAATTCTAATATCATCCAGTATTTTGACCACTGCCGTCGAACAACTATGTTTTTGTCGGAAGCCAGATTGTAGTGGAGAAAGCAGACTATTTTCTTGCACAAATGCAGAAATTTGCGCAGCCATTAAGTTTTCACAAGCCTTCGAAAAGACAGGCAGTATGCTGACAGGTCTATAGTCGCCAGCATAAGTAGCATTCGTCTTCTTCGGAACTGGCAAAATTATAGCTTTTTTCCAAACTGCTGGAAAGCATGAGCTGGTAAAACAATGGTTTATTATATGAGTCAGAGGGCCTATTATAAAATCAATTACTATTTTGACGAATTTCAGCGAGATTTCATCTTCCCCTATAGCGTTAGACTTAATTTTTGACAGGGCCATCAGGACCTCAACTTCGCTAACTGCCATAAATTGAAACTCGTGTTTTGGACTAGCACAAGACATGAAATCCTTCAACACGGGAGCACAATGGTTTTTGTTGTTGGCACTGATAAAATATTCGTTCAGCTCATCGACGTCAATTTCACACTCGGGTCTTTCTTTGCCATGTATTTTAAGATTTTTTAGATTGCGCCACAGTTCCTTCGAGGGGAGTGACGGATTTAGTCTTGAATAGCTGTACCAACGTTTTGCTTGTCTTATTATAGCAGTAGTTTCATTTCGAATTTCCTTGTAACGATTCCAAGAAGTGTCCGTTTGATTTTTTCTCCACTTAGCATAAGACTTATTGCGTTTCCTGATGGCAGAACGAACTTTGGAATTGTACCAAGGACACGAACTATTTACAATATTTACAGAACACAGTGGAACATGCACATTAAACAACATGGACAAGTTATTGTTGAGGAAGTCAAGTTTATCATCAACAGTGGGAAGAAACCAACATTCATTCCAATAAATATTGCTCAGGTCTGAAAACAAAGAATCTACATTCAACCACTTAAAATCACGATACACAAAGGTAGCACCTAAACCTGGACGATTCATCACAACATCTAGAGAACAAAATATTAAATCATGGTCGGAAATAAAATCTACTTGGTCAAATTTAAGAATATGCGAGAGGTTGCAGGTAATAAAATAATCAAGGAGACTAGGTGGGGAGTTATTTGCATACCTCGTTGGCATAGTTTCGTTAACAACACAAAGCCCTGCTGTTGCCAACTGGTCCAATAATTTACTACTACTGGGATCGTTTACTAATATATTTACATTAAAATCACCACAGATAAGAATACGCTCATAATCTAACACAAATTCAGACAGGTCAAAAAATAATGTATCTAGAGCTATACCCTTATTAGGATTATAAACACATGCGAGTAAGACTTTATTCACGCCATCAGATACTTCAGTAATTATGTATTCAGTTTCGCAGTTGTTTGATTTTACTAACAGTTTGAGTTTCAGACTTTTGTTACAGTACACTGCAACTCCCCCCCTTTTTTAAGTCTACGATCATGCCTCAATAAATTGTAGCCGTTTAAAGACAGGTTGAAATCAGGAAGGTCACTATGGAACCAAGTCTCAGAAACACAAATTACATCCACTGCAGACTCTTCAAAGACGTACCTAGCTAAGTCAAGTTTATCACGGCTTAGACTACGTGCATTAAAATGCACCACATTAAAACCATCATTTTGTTTACATAAAATATCAATAATACATTTCTTATTTTCATTAACGCAAGGGCCTGACTTATCGAGCAGACCTACAATCGCAAATCCGGGCTAGAACAGAAACAACCAAAAACAAGCAAACGAAGCATGTATACATATTTGCATAAGTGCAAGACAATAACAAAGAAAGGGCATGATAGTGAAAGGCGGGTAGTTAAGAAAATACTATGAAATTTAAGAGAGCAGTAGAAATTATAAATAAATTTAAGATAATATGCAGGGAAATTAAGAGGAAAACAGCAGAGAAGAGAGGTATAATAAAAGAAGAAACAAGAGCAGGTACAACATAAACAAATGATAAACATAACAGCTATACTTAAACATACGTTATCAGGTGCCTGCAGCAACAACACTTTTGATGCTCTCTATATTGAGTACCTTCACAGCTTTACACTTAGGGCGAACGCGTACATACACATACCCACGAACTGAAAAGGCAGCTACAAGTTTTTGATCTCTTCTTAGCTGCATTGCGAAGCGCATTAGCTCGCGGTTGTTTTTTGTAAGACACTCATGTATGTATATTTTCCCATCTGAGCTCAGGCCAACATCACGGAGCAATAGCGGCCGCATTTTTTCTTTGCAAAAGCGAGCCACTGATTTGAAAAGGGTGGATCGATCAGCAGAAGATGCTAACTTGACAATCACCGAAGCAGCGGAGTTGCTCTGTTTAGATACTCGAAAGACCGAGCGAACTTGAAGCACAGGTAAATCCAATGACTGACACAGGTTGCCGAAGGTATCTCCTAAATTCTCACCATCCACATAGGGGAGACCATTGATAATGATATCGGTGGAGACGGCTTGGTTTTGACATTCGTTAAGCTCAGTCTTAAGCAGCGCCACCTCCATTTGCAGCTGCTCATTTTGCGCAATTTGAGCTTCTGCCTTTCCCACTCGTTCTTCCATTTTTCGCAATGCCTTTTTTAGATTCGCCAGCTCAGCCGTTAACTCGCCAAATCGCTGCATCACTCGTTCTTCAGATGATTTTAACCGTTCAGCTATCTCTTCCACAATACTCTTCCTCTGTGAATCCAGTTGCTCCTCAATACGCTCAAGCCAAGATGTAGGTGGGGAGCTCTCTTTTTTCTCAGTTTTACTGAGAGAACTATTCTGCGGAGTAGATACCGCTTGACGCGCAACTTTTCTTGTTGTCATATTTATTTTTATTTGGAATTAAATTGCGACGATTAAAAATAATATAACTATTGCAGCAGACCTACTCGATATGAGGTGTAGAGATATTTCAGTGAGGCCCGCTATCACTTTAAACGCAAACAATTGATCAAACACTCGGAATAAATATACAGCTGCAGCGCACCGACAATCACGTCTACTCTGCTTGACATTCTTTACTTATAGTATGGCCAATTAAATTTAGTTTTTAATACTAACCTTCCAAGTTTAAAAAAGGAGAGCACATACATATGTTGGGTTTAGAATTTAAACAGTTCGGTTTAACTTTTTAACCCAAAAACTTTCTATTTCGGTTTAGATTTTAAACAAAGTTTTCTATATATGAAGCCTAGAAATACTAGATCTAATAATTTTGGTTTAACTTTTAAACAAATAGGGCCTAAACCAGATTTTATTGAAAATTCCTTAAAAATATTGACTGGTTTAAAAAGTGGCTTACTTGACCTCTGTAGACCCACAGCTCCTGAACCAGTGCGATGCCCAGATTTTCCGACGAAAACCTTCTGCTAATGACTGCTGATGCACCAATGACGTGGTGAAGGTTTATCTGGGCTATGGTTATTGTGGGTTGACTGGTCATTTTTGCATCGGCTCGTCCACCTCTGAGAGTCTCAGGTCGCTCTCACTCCTGCCGTCTAGCTCTAGTCTTCGCAGGTCGAGCCCATCCATCAACTCTTGCGTCGATGGAACCTCTGTAGGGGCGACCGTAGGCTACACACTATCTGCATTGGGAGTGGTGTTGCTCTCAAGTGGGACGGGCTTGAGGCGCCATCATCTTTTACCTACATCTCATCCGAAGCAGTCATGATGGCGTAGGGTAGTTCACAGGCATAACCGCCTCTTCAGCGGGCGCGGTTCTGCGTTTCCCTTTTCGCGCGGCATCGGGTACCTGCTGTCTTCCCCGACTGCTACCATGTGTTTTCCCACTTCTCCGCCACTCGGCGTGCGCGGTTTCGCGATGACGCTCGTTTCTTCTTTCTTCTGCTTCTATTTATGTCATATGCTCGCGGGCCTTTATGCGTGCCACCTCCGGCGTATAGCCCAAAATACAATAACGCAGTGGCAGTGGCAGTGGCAGTTTTTCGAACTCAGCTGTTTTTTAGAAAGTGTGGTGTCCAATGAAGCGACTCACAATACAACAGTGGCAGCTGGCAGTACTGCTCAGTTTAGCCAAAATTCTAAATTCACTGCCACTGCCTTCATCGCAGCAAACTTCGCATGCTGAATTTGACATAAACAAAATGCAGCCAACTTCTGTTCATGTCACTGAAGCCTAAAAGACAACAACAAAAATGTAAACAAACAAAAGGGAATGTCAAAAAAAGCTGTCACTGACAAATCCGTATTGTATTTGCTGCGGCAGTGACTGCCATTATTAGCAGTAACAGCTGGTTCTAAAAACTGTCACTGCCACTGCCACTGCGCTATGGTATTTTGGGCTTATTTCCCTCTTCAAAATACCGAAGGTACCACTTTACTGCTGCACCACTCAGTCTATGCATTCGATGGTCGTTAATCGCTCCTGGTTTACCTAACCGTGGTAGAGTCAGTACTCTACAACTACGGTGCTTTTTTCCAGGGCCCCTATGCCCCCGTTCGCTTGACCTGGAGTGGGAGAACGCTGCGTTCTATGAGGAAGTGCAGGTTCTCGGCGTATGCCACTGCTGGTAGATGGCTCGTCATCAGACATCGCATGTTCGACGAAGAGGGCTAGCTCATCCTGCGTCAGGATGGTCTCATGCCTTATTTGGGTTAGGTTTTTTGTTGTTGTTGTTGTTTTAGCTTTTGTTAGTTTTATTCATCTTGTTCTTACAATCACCTGCTCGGAGAGGCAAGCGCAGTGGTCTAATTTTCTTGCATGGGAGCACAGTCGTCGACCGCGGTAGACCCCTGTGCCGCGGCAAGGCCACACGTACTCCCGAAGGCGGGCCGGTGTTGAGGAGGTGCCGTTAAAATACAGTCGATTGTCCTCCTCGCTGCATTTCGTCCAATGGGCACGGTGTCGCGTTACATCCTGGATTAGGAGGTGGCAGTTCTTGGTAACTGTTCGCTAGCAGCCCTATCCTGGAAAGAGCCGCATTTCGCAAACCGCTACTTTGATTTTGTCGATTTTGACAATTATCAAGTAAAAGTATACACCGCCTCAAAAATTTTAAATGCCCTGAAACTCACTAATACTTTCACAAAAGTCAGTGCTTTTACAAACTTCTATTAAGTTTCACCTGTGTGTAATCAAATCTTGCAATCAGTTTTTAACCAACTTCCCGATGAGGTTTTCAAACATGGTCCGAGATGGTTCGTATTTGGATGGTTCGTATTTAGAATGAATTTTACATGAAAAGGAATAACTCCACAAAAAATTTGCCCGAAATGTGACGCACGAGTCGAAATATTAGGAAAATCTGTGGGATTTGTTTCTTATTTAGAACCTAGGTATAATACTTAAATAGAAAAAAATAATTTAAAAAAATTTAGCCCTCGAGTTTAAATTTTCTTTTTTATTAACTACTAGTAAACTAGTTGTTGGGCCTTATGCATAAAAAGTAAGCTTAAACTCATACTCAATTTTCGCATTGATCAAGTGAGTTAAAGCTTAAGAATTTGTACTGAAAATCGAGTCGAAGCTGAAGCTCACTGTTTATGCATGAGACCCATTGTCTTCAATCATTATTGGTTAACAAACGAGTCTTAACGTCTAGTTTCAACGAAGTCTTACAATTAACTCTTAGGGTAAAAACACTACGAGTAGGTCGTGGTGTTTAGTTTAGATGACTAGCAAGCCTTCGTCAGTCGGTCAAAGCCGTGCGAATGTACGAGAGCCAACATTACTTTCAGCTTGCTACTAACCTAACTAACTATGTAGTAGGTTAGGCTGACTTCATGAATGTTTGTTTTCGTCAGTAAGATAGTCAGCTGCAATCAAGTGGAAAATGTGAATTACAAACGGAAAATGTGCACCAACATTGAAGGAAAAATTACTTCATTTGCAATAAAGCTTAAGGCGTTACCGCCCTAATTTTAATAGGTTTCTAATGTTTTATTGACTAAATTAAATTTGCTATTCAGCTGACTAATAAATAGCAAAACGTCTGCGTACTGTGTAATCTTCCCTCGATGTTAAGCTCATAGTCAGCTTTCTAGATATCTAAACCGTGATTGGACCTGCTCGTAGTGTTTTTACCCTTAAGGTATAGTTACGTACGTTACATACGTACATATGCACATACGTAGCACATGCCTGCGACTGCAATTAACGGACTTAACAACTTCGGATACGAGTGCTTTTTCGATCAGTTTATGGCGATTCGTAGGCGCTGGAAAATTTCAATCGAAAAATACTAGAAAACGAATCGGTTATGAATATATTCTATGGAAGGTTTCGAAAGATATCTCGATGATCCTTAATTTTTCGTAGGATAACTTTTCTAACTAAGGTAAAAACCATCCTAAAAATGTTGGACGAAGAATCTTCGTCTATCCATCGCAAATAATACTCATTTAACTTGACTGCAAAAATAATTAGCTTGAGCTTTAAAATTTTCAAAAACCTCAAAATACGATTTTTTTGCTAGGTTTTGCGATGAGTCGCTATACTTTTTATTGTGACTGTTATTGTTGCCAAGATTCGAATTTGGAAAAGTACTAAACCCCAAGAAAATTTGCGTTTTTTCTCGAAAAATATATATTATTATGAAATATACTCCTTAAAACTTGTAGTCACAATAACGCTAGCTCAGTTCACTAAATATCCCACCCAAGAAATCATTGCATTCACACTGAATGCATACGTGGGTCATTTCCAAACAAGGAGAACATGGCAGGTATTTCTTATATATTTTTTTAAGATTAATTAATTTATCCTCTGAAAAATTAAAAATAAATCGTTTACTGATGTGAAAAGTTGTGCAGAATACGAAACTGCTTTCAGGCTCTTCAAAAATTATAATTTTTTCTTATTTTTTTATTTTTGTAAAATATTTTTTACCTGTCATACTTGTGCCAAAGTTTTGATATGCGATTTAAGCTTAAATAACTAAATTTTATAGATCTTTAAATAAGTTCAAAAGTCGAAAAACAAAATCGGCTGCCTGAAATGTCAACGCCTAATATAAACTTTGGACTGTTCTCTGCGATCGAAGTTAATAATAGCACAAACTGTATGAAAACTCTGAGTGACAGCGATATTAGCTGTAGCAAGAGCAACCGAAGCAGCAGTAGCCTAAGTAAAGCAATGAACAGTGGAGAAGTTGCTCAACATGACATCATAACAATGAGCACTTTGAAAAGGGAGCAGCCACAGACAAATGAATGCACAAATCACAGCAATATAAGCGTCGACAAGATGCAGTCGCCGAAAACAATTAGTGAAATACCGGCTACAGCAACAAAATCAACCGGATTTAGTGCGGCAATACAAAGGCTTATAACACCAGCACCGGATTACAAGTATGGGAGCGATGAAGCGCATTGTTCGGCAGGCAGGCCATTGAATGTAAAAATTTCAAAGGACTCAAAGGTTGAATACGAGTTTGCTGAAACCCGCAATGCAACGCTTTCGAATACGACGATTGCTACACCAAGTGGCATCATTCAACCCTCTCAACACAAAAATGTCCCCCCGCTGACAGTCACTACGTCCAAATCGTTGGCACATGATCACCAAAGACAAATTAAATCACTAAATATACGTTTTGAGAATATTTGCTACGGTGTTAAGACTGGATTCTACAAAAGAGGTTAGTAATGTCAGCAATTGGTATTTTATTGGTAGCTTAGAGTTAAAAGTAGATACATAAGTCCACATTTTATGAAAACTTACATTTCGATACAGGAAGCAATAAAAATTAAAAATACATCGTTTTCATTGATATTGAGCATGTAGAAAACAACGTTATCTTAGATACAGAATTTCCAATAACAAATTTCGTATTCAAATTTGTTGTTGTATCCCCTTTGATGATCATGTGCGATATGTATATACTAATCGAGAGCATAAATCCTATAGAATGTGTTAAACAGATGAGTGAAAATTACTATTACTGCTTACCTGCTCATCAGGGACCAAAAATAACTGTTATCTCGAATTTAAAAATTGAAAACGTTGCCCGGATTCTGAAATTTATCGAAAACGTTGTTTCATAACAGTTATTAGATGAAAAATATTTTGTATTTCCCCGATAAGAGTTATAATCCAAGGTCTATTTTTTACGTTAACTGTTACTGTAACTGTTGTTTATTGTCCAGCGTTTGTTTTTAAGTTGCTTGACAACAGTTATTGCCCAACGTTTATCTCTTACGTTGCTTGATAAGAATAATGACGAAAATGGTGATGGAGAAGAATATAAAGATGATGAAAATAAAAGTAGAGGACTGAAATAACTGTTATCAGACAACGTAAAAACAAACGTTGGGTAATAACTGTTATCAAGCAACGTAAAAAATAAACGTTGGAAAATAACTGTTATCAAGCAAAGTAAAAAACAATCGTTGGGAAATGACTCTTATAGACGACGGAAAATATATTTCTCCTGCATAACAGTTATCAGGCAACGTAAAAATTAAACGTTGGGCGATTACTCTTATCGGCGAAATAAAAAATATGTCTCATCTAATAACTGTTATGGAACAAAGTTTTTCCGATAAAACTTAAAAGCACGTTAGATTTCATACAAAATAGATTAAACAGATGGGTGAAGGTCGTGCCTTATTTGGATCTTCTACTAATTGTGGAGGCCCGTACCGAATATTTTATGAGTTGACGAAATCCACAATTTTCCATTTGATTCGAAATTTACGATATTGTCTGCTTGCAATGGTTGTCAGGCACAAATCAGATGCTCAATGGCTTGCTCAAAATTTGACAGTAGTCATCTAAAAAATAACTGCTAACCGGGGAATTCAAAAAGGATCTGAGTTATCAAACTGTGCTAGTACCTTTTGCTTACATATATGTATTTGCTTACATATATGTTTTTAAATCGATTACATCGAAGATCGATTAGATTCGATTCTTGGCGATTTTTTAGTTCCGATTCGATCCGTAAATCGTTCCAAAAATTCGAGAATTGACATTCATCAATCATCAATTGATACCACAGTATATACAGTAATAAACCTTTTTGAGTACTCCTCGGAGGTAAAATCTGATCAGGGTTGATAATGAGAAGGAGCATGAATTTTGTTGATTCAGAGTTGTATACAAAATTACTGTGGTATGAAAGGGAGCAACAACCGTACTATGGCAGAGTGGCACAAGTCATGACTGTTTAATAGTGCCCGAAACTAATTGCAAAAGTGTAAAAACATTGCAAATTTTTGTCTATTATTATAGATACTAGTACAGATTATCATAGTTTAGTGTATAATTTGTTATATTATATCGTACATGATAATGAACTGTTAAGTGCTGAAAACGCTTGTGTGCTTAATGGACTGTCTGGTCGGATGCGCAGGCAGGCATTGAGGTCTGTGTAGATATACAAACCCTGTTCTTTTTTTGAAATAAAGACTTAAATATATATTCGGAAATTTAGAGTTTGGCCTGATAAATTCACAAAATTTAGGTTTTTCATAAAAAAATGTATCTTACAATGGACTTTTTTTAATTTAAACTTACATTTAAGAAAACTCCATTCAATGCTATAATTACGATTTGAGTTTTCCAGTTTATAAAATACAAGCGTTAATTATGTACTTAACTATTGATATTATTCTTCATTAAGCATGAATATCGGCATACATTAAAGATGAATATAATACTTAACCTACATTTTGTTCATAAATAACACATAATTATGTATATTTTATCCTCGAAATGAACTTTTTCTAATCATGAGGTGGAATTCCCCACAGTAAGTGTTGCCGTGCACGCAAAACGAAAACGCTGCACACAACCCAAAAGTACTCCTCGGGGACCAAATGGTGAAAAACTGCGAAAAGGTTTGTTACTGTATATACTGTGATTGATACACATTGATCCTACGGTTTGCCCTAGAAAGTCTATAAAATTTTTAAGAAAGATTAATTTGAGGCTGGTACAAAAAATGCAGGCTTGGCAACTCCCACGTTTCCAACTTGAGAAAGCAAAGCCCAAAGAATTCAATGACCTCCTTCTCTTTCTTGCAGGCCTCGTCAGGGAAACTTTATATAAAGTTATGGGTAATAATTTTTGCAATAAAGACTACGAAAAATGGAGTTTTAAACTTTGTGGATATTTTCGTAAAATGTTGTACACCCTAATTACCTTCTTTACAAAAATTTGAGTATGCCATTCTATAGCCCTTGGAATTTTAGGTGCAAAGTTGCAGACAGAGTGGAAGCTAAGCCGAAGATGAAGATGAAGACGAAGCCGAAGACGATGATCAGACTTCTACCACATTGTGGGAGATCTGCCACTTTCTTGAGCATCTACCACACAAGGTCTGAAATCTACCACATATTCGCGTTTTTGAGTACAGTGAAACCCGCTTAAGTACCCAAAAACACATCTGAGAAAAAATTTTTAAATTATCATGAATTTTTTTCTTTAAGTGTTCTATAAAATCTTAAGCTTAGGTTTACATAGTATTTGTTAGGGAATGAACTGTATTTTAATTGAAAAATCTTAAATAAATACGTATACTTCATTAAATGTTTATGTTTTATTCAAGGATTTACATATTTATCTAAGTTAACAAAAAGATGTAGCTACATCAATAATTATGTTTGCTTAAGTACCCGCATCGAGGTACTTAAGCGGGTTCTTTTAAGTACCCAACCCGCCTAAGTACCTCAAAAAGCTGACATTTTTCGTGAGGTACTTAAGCGGGTTTTACCGTAGCTTTATTTTCGACATTAACTTATCAATTTTAAGAACAAGAATTTTCCAACACTGAACACTAACACAGGCAAAATGTGAGGATAAAATAAACCGTAAAATACTAAATTTTCTCAACATTCAATTTTTCGACAGGAAACATGGTTTTGTTGTGTTAAATTGCAAAATATATGATTTATAAAAAGGAACTAATAGGGAAAATGTTAAAAAACGGCGATTTTTGTGAAATTATTAGAAAATTTCACTGCATCTAAAGTTTCTAAAGCGTTGTTTACTTTTACTTGAGAATTGTCAAAATCGGTTTCTGGAACATGCCACATTTGTCCGCTACATTGTGATGTGATAAAAAGAAAAGCTGGCAGCACTCCGCAAGGTTGCAGAAATCTTTCAAAATACGTTCGAAAAATATCTTGATATGGAAGGAACTACTTTACACTGTCAAGGAAAAAAATGCCAAAACTCAACGGCATTTTTAGCAACTTCAATCTTGTACTTTAATAAACTTAAATTAATTTTTTTTAGATTATAATTAAAATGTTGGTAATTTAGGTGCAACCTTGCAGAATATTTTTAAGTTTTGTACAAAGTTTGATCCAAAACCTGAGATCTACCAGATTTTTCTGAAAGCTACCACATTTTTTTCCAGATTCTACCACACAAATTTTTAAAGTCCGATCACTGGTGCAGTAGTAAACAGGTGAAAGTGATCACAGTGCAAGCGAACACGAAGACGAAGATGGAAGACATTGCGGAAGCAGTAAGCTTGAAACTGTGCGGTACTGTTCTCAAAGCGAATCGCTTGCTGTGATGAGTTGTTTATATTTTATTTAATTGTTTACAATTGTGAAAAAACGCGTTTTTCAAGAAACGGCCAAATTTTTGACAAAATTTAATCAAACGTATTAATTGACAATCTTGTCCGTCTTGCCGTAATACATAATACAAGTGGCGAAATTCTCCAAAAGTTTTCCTACACAAATTTATTTCATGAATTGGTTTTATTTAGAAACAAATCTTCATGTCATTCATGATTCAACAACTACAGGTTGTAGCAATCGTACAAAACCAACATTTACCGTTGGTATGATCTCCTTGTGTCATCAACATCGTCTTTATCTATTCATATTCGTGTGTATATGTATACCCTGCACACCAGGATTTCATAGAATTCTGAAAGGTTTCACAATTTTTTTAAGAATTTTCTTTAAGAAATCGTACAGAAATTTCTTTACTAGTTCTTGTCAACCGCTTCATATGTTTTTCTTTACAGATTTCTAAAAGAATCGTAACAAATTTCCGACACTCTTAAAGATTTCGGGAGCATTTGTTTGCAGGGTATATATATACGTATATGTGTATGTATACGCGGATATGTAAACAAAGCAAAACAGACGATAATTTGACACAAGCGTGCTTATAAGAAGAAGCATAGCTTCTATCGCTATCACCTGTAATTGATGCGCCTTGAAGATGAATGACTTCCACTATGATTTGATTTTTTTCGATTTTTTTTCGTGACGTTCTGCACATTTTCCTCCACACAAAAACAATTTGAGGTTTGAAGGAATGAAGAATATCTTCAGTGGAAAAAATTGCCAGAAATCAAAATGCCACTCTGTATCTGTCAATGTTATGCTGGCTTATTAAATGGCCACTTTTTTAAACTAAAATTCAATCGTCTACAAAACTGCATTCCTAATTTTTTTTTTTATTGTAATTAAGGAGTGAAAGTTAGAGTTAAGGCCTGTATGCAGCTCTCAAGAAAAGCAAAAACTCCATATAAAATGACGTACAAGAAATGGCTAAGAAATTTTCTTGAGTCAAATTTCCTTAAGGCAGTACGCCGTTCTTAAGGAAATTGCTACGCTTTCTACTACGGTTTTCTAAAGTTTTTTGTGAAACAAAATCACAAGGCAACCC